CCCCACATGCCTGGTCAACCCATCACTCACGACGAGGAACATAAAGCTGCCTGATAGCTTGCTGCCAAGGAGCATCTGTTTTCCTGGCATCGACTCCTGTGGGAACAAAGCCAATAAGCCTGGGTGGGGAGAAGAGAAATCATGTTGAGATAGAAAAAAGAAAGTTGGGGAGTGTGGTGCTTTGTTTCATTAAAGACTTAATAGGCCTTTAATTTCTACAGCAAAGCACAGAGGAATCTATTGTGGAAATGTCTGAGAGTTTCTCATTGGCCCAATGTTGCAAATCCTACTGCATGGTAGGCCCTTAGGAGAGATGTTAGCTGTAGCTGCTACACCTGCCAATCCTCTTCCTCACTCATTCTATGTCCCCTTATGGGAATGTGACTAGACAAAGGCTTTTCCTATATTTCTCAAGGATTGCCAAGCTGATGAATCTTAATGCAAAATTTAAGTTACACATAACGGAATCTTTTCTACTTTGAAGAAAACTGATAGGAAAAGTCTGCCAGGTCATATGTTAAAAAGGCTAAACTCAGACAACAGACCTCCAGTTGAACAACATTTTTATAAATCATTCCCACAACTTTCAGCCGCTTAGACCATTCACACCTCAGACATGGGTTTTCTCTTACCCCGAACAAGATTTCTATATCATCCCAATTTTCTCAAGTTTCAGACTCTGAACATTTATTTACTTTCTTTATCTTCCTTGGCCTGTGAGCTCCATTAGGGCAGATCCTGTTATTTGACTTCTATTTTCAGAGCCTGGCATGGTGCCCGGTAAACATAGTAATTCAGTGAACGTCTGGTGAATGAGTGCTTGCAGGGAGAAAAAAAATATTGGCTTTAGCAAGCGGGTGGTTGGTAAATATTCAGTGCTCTTCATGATACCACTAACTAGAAGGTATCTCTTTGATCTCCCACAAACATGACCTCTTTCATGACACTTATCATATTAAGCATACTATTATAGTTTTTTGAGTATACTGTGGTGCTCTCTATAAATTCCTTGGAAACAGAGACCAGATGTTTTTCAATTATTTTATCCATTTCCTTATCCAATAAATGACTACAAAACTGAAGGAATAAATGAATGCTTGTTGCCCAAAGCACATTACAGTCTTGGCTTTATCAATACCTTCTACCATAAGCAACCAAGTCTTTTCAAAAGAAAGTTCAGCCCCCAGAAAAATACTTGCAGAAATTCATGTTGGCATATTAACCAAAGACAATATTCCTATGATAACATCAATCTCAAATGGCAGAGAAAGCAACTAAGTAAGAGCTTTGAGGCAGTAGCAAAGTAGGGGAAATTGTGAACTCAAGAAAGCCTGACAAGCCCCAGAACATAGGAGATAGGGGATGATGGCCAACAGTAACCAGGAGAGACTACAGAAGGTGGCAGTAGCCAAAATTTGTGGATCGTTCACAGTGCAAATTAACCATGTTAATAAAAAGGACTACATTGATGGCATTGGCATGGATCAACTCTATGAATAATTTGTCAGGGGTGTTGAGGCCAGGACTGTATTCAGCAAATGTGGTAGAAAAAAATGTTCTCATACATAGAACTCTTATAGAAGCTTTGGTGGCCTAGTGCCTAAGGCATTTGACTGCTAACCAGAAGGCTGGTAGTTCAAACCCACCAACCACTCTGAGGAAGAAAGACTGGGCAATCTACTTCTGTAAAGATTTACCACCTCAGAAACCAAAGGGGGTCACTATAAGTCAGAATCAACTTGATGGCAGTGAGTTTGGGTTTTGGTTTCATGCATAGTTATACATAGTGGCATACGGACTGAGAACAGAGGCTAACAGTGGGTAGAGGAAAACCTTGACTCAGAGGGCAGGTTTTTTCCTGCTGCAGGGTTCTGTTCTCGTTAACCAATTAGGGCCATAGCCCCATTTCCTGTGGCAGTTTCTCTGCCACAGAGAATGAGGTCACAGCCCTAACCATAGAGAACTACAAAGCATCTGAGTGATAAAGAACAGCTTCAGATATGCTTGGATCATCCCCAGGAGACAACTGGATACATGTGTGGTATCAGAGTTCTCAGAGGAATTGAAGTATATTTTGACACTAGGTTTTAAGTGCCAATATAAACCCTTATTGCATGACTTTAGTAAAATAGACTGAATATTATGGATCTATTAAGCAAACCTAGAGAATGGAAAAGCTCAAACAAGCCCAAAACCCTAAACCAACCAATCATATCATTATAAAGCAGCACTAAATGTGGTATTGTATGTGAAAAGAGATTTAATATAATTTATGTACTTAAAAGAATTAAACTATAAAGGGCCATTCAAATTTAACATTATAATTATTATTATTACTTAGATATGTCAATTTATAAGAGCAACCCAAAGTACTTATTAGCAGAGTTCAGATTCACTAATGGAAGGAAACAGATGTACATTGGCTTGTGGAGGGGGTGGAGGAAAGTTTGCAGGATGGGTAGAAAATCACATGTCAGGGAGAAGAAGCATTATTGCATTATTCTAGAGATTGTTGTTTGTTGTTGTTGTTATGTGCCGTCGAGTCGGCCCCGACTCATAGCGACCCCTCCTTGGGTTTCCGAGGCAGTATCACTAC